CGGTCCAGAAGGACGTCAGGGTCGATGGTTTCAAAGGCCAAATCTGGGAGAGCTGTGTACAGCTATTAACCAAATGAAAAACAACAAAGCCAGCGAAACTGATGGGATACCTGCCGAAATCTTCAAAGTGGGTGGAATTGAACTTACACAACAACTTCACAAGCTCATCAAAAAAATCTGGGAGAGAGAGGAGATCCCAGCAGACTTTAGGGATGCCAAAATGATCAAAAGGTGACAGAATGGATTGTGGAAACTATTGAGGCATCTCTTTATTAGCTGCGGCCAGCAAAATTCTGGCAAGGATCTTAGCAAACCATCTCTTAACAATATCCGAGGCTACCTTTTCTGAATCCCAAAATGGTTTTAGACCTTCATGGGGGGACAGTGGACATGATTTTCACCACTCAACAGATTCAAGAAAAATGCAGAGAACAAAACCAGCCCCTGTATATGGTGTTTATTGACCTGACTAAGACCTTCGACACTATAAATCTTATTGCCCTTTGGCATTTCCTTCTGAAAATTGGCTGCCCAGATAAATTTGTGTACATCCTTTGGCTCCTCCATGATGATATGACAGCAACAGCAGCAATGGTTCTCAAAGTGAACCATTCACATTAGGACCAGGTGATAAACAGGGTTGTGTTATCGTCCCAACTCTATTGATTATTTTCATTGCCATGATCCTACACTTTGTCTAAGGAAAACTCCCCACTGGGGGAGTAGAAATCATATATCGAACAGATAGAAATCTCTTTAATCTGAGTAGGCTGAAAACAAATAGTAAGGTTACCTTAACTTCTGTCATAGAGCTTCAGTATGCTTAGAGGATGACCTCCAAACCATCTTAAATATCTTCACGCAAGCTTACAAAAAGCTTGGCCTTTCACTCAACATCCAAAAAAACCAAAGTGCTGCACCAACAAGCACAAAGCAACCCCTCTGCAGTGCCACAAATCCAACCCAATGGTGTAACGTTGGAAACTGTTGATCACTTCTCCTACCTGGGCAGTTATCTTTCTACAAGGGCCAACATTGATGCCAAAAGCCAACATCACCTGAGCTCTGCGAGTGCAGCTTTCTCCAGATTGAAGTGCAGAGTGTTTGAGGACCAGGACAGTCGCAGGGAAACAAAACTGCTTGTACACTACTATTGTACTACCAACTGTATGCTTGTGAAACATGCACCTCTTATAAACACCATTTCCAACTCCTCGAAAGATTCCATCAACGGTGTCTATGAAAAATTCTACACATCACTTGTGAAGACAGGCAAACTAATGCCAGTGTACTGGAAGAAGCAAAGATAGCCAGTGTCGAAGCAATAATTGTTCAACATCAACTTCGTTGGACTGGTCATGTTGTTCGGATGCCTGATTATCGCCTTCCAAAGCAACTACTCTATTCCAAACTTAAAAATGGAAAGCGTAATGCTGGTGATCAACAAAAGAGGTTTAAAGTCTCTCTCAAGGCAAATCTTTAAAAAGTAGTATAAACACTGACAACTGGGAAACACTGGCCTGCGAGTGCTCCAATTGGAGAACAGCCTTTACCAAAGGTGTCATGGACTTTGAAGACACTTGAATTCAGGACAAAAGGAAGAAACATGCTAAGAGGAAGGCACGTTTGACAAACCCTCACCATGTTCAACTCCCGCCCAGAAACCTATGTGGAAGGATGTGTGGATCCAGAATTGGCCTCCACAGTCACTTACGGACTCACTGTTAAAACCGTGTTCATGGAAGACAATCTTACTCAGCTACAAGCGATTGCCAAAGAAGAAGGCTTTAACTGAAGTGAATCAAATAGCTCTACCTATTATACTTCAGTCCAGTTAATGTTCACATTTTTATTATTACTCCTGTAAGACAGGCTTCAAATAAAATTTCTCTCAGTTGCCTAAGGTGCTAATGATATTTCATCTTTCGCAAAATGGGAAGGCGTAGGGAAAAGCGTTATAAGCACTGTAATTTCTTTAGTCCCAAACACATAATGAAGAACGCTTGTTGAACTGCACTAGGAAAGCTCTGTTGGTTAGAGCAGTGGCGCCCAATTAGGGGTCTGGGGATCCCTGGGGGTCTGCAGAACACACCCAGGGGGTTCGGGGACCCAAACTATATTTTGGGTCATTTTTGCATGGTAATATCTCACATTTTATGGTCTGTTTAGTGCTGTGTGATTTTTCAACAAATTGGCCAAAATCAGTTTGGATATCACATCACGATAACAATTTTGACCCAGCAATGCGCAGCAATATATTGCTCCTCACGCAAGGGAGAGCAAGGCAGCCAGTTTCAAGGCACCACTGATACCGCATGATGAACTCAGCCGTTAACACGGCTGATCTGAGCTTGCCTTCCTCATGCTGAAGGAGACAAAGGCAGCCGATAACACTGCAGTCTTCCCTCACACTGAGGGAAAACAGGGTATCTAACTGTGAGGCGCTGCCTTTCACTCATGCTGACAAACAGAGCAACTGATCGCCTTCACTTCAAGGCACCATGGCACTATCTTCCCCTGGCACTGAGGTGGAGCAGCTTTTCTCAGTCAGCAGGAAAGCAGCAGCAGCCACAGTGGATGGGCATCTTAGCTGGCTGCCACTGCTGGCTGTCCCATTGAAGGGGGCTTGATGCACCATCCATCCCATCCCATCCCCCTCAAACAATGTGGTGGAGGTGACTCTGCTTCCTCTTCTCCCCTCCCCAACCCATTCTGATCTCTGCACACACCCCACCCACTGGATCTATGTGACTGCTCCTTCCCTCACCCCCAATTTCAGGTATCAGAATATCGCAAGGTTTAGCAATATGTGTCACAATGTTGAAAACCAGGTATCGCTCAGCCCTAGTCTGTTTTTCAGTATACCTAAAATCCTTTGCTTATTAGGGGCTACCCCACATTTTGTTCAGAAAATTGCTTTTTGAAAGTAGGGGGTCCGTGGCTTGGCTTTTGAAAAATAGGGGGGGGGTCCCTCAGCAATTAGCTAATTGGGAACCACTGGGTTAGAGCATGGAGCTGATTACACCAGGGTCACAGGTTCAATCCCAATATGGGACAGCTACACATTCCTGTATTGAAGAGGGTTGGACTAGATGATCCGCAGGATCCCTTCCAACTCTACAGTTCTATGAAACTACTTCCTAATTATGTTGTCTACATTTAGGGTACAAGAGAAGTATTTGTGTAGCTTCCCAACAATGTTCTCTAGTAACTTTTAGGATCCAACCTATCCTGAGAATCACATTCCAGAACTTCAAAATGAACAATGAATCTGCCACCTATCCTGCATATATGATAGGTATCAAAATGCTGAATATCAAAACACTGTTTTCCTTTATGCTGTGATAGGAATTTTATGGTCTTAGATATATGGTAATGTTCATAACTGCACATACATAGATCAACACAGGAAGACCAACCTGGAACCATTTTGATTCCTAAACTGACCAAATGTTTTCTCTGCAAGGTCAAACTGGAAAAGTCTCCCCATTGTCTCTTTCCTCACAAATCCTGTCTTAAGGACACATTTAAGATATGAATAAGGTGTGAGCCTGTGACCTGGCCCAGGAAATAAGTATTTTACCACTACAAAAGAATGGCCAGGCTCCCCAGAAAATCCAATCAAGTAACTTGCCAGACAGGAGAAAAACAACATTTAAATTTCTGTGATGTAGGTGGGATGTATCTGAGGGGTGGTCTTAGGTTACACCCCTTCTGTGATGTATGTGTAATGTTTCTGGGGGTGGTCTTGATCTAGAGGATGGGAATTTCAAAACTCTTTATAAGCCCTTGCACAGCATTTTTGTGGGTCCTCCTCCTCTCCTGCGTGTGAGGGAGTACCCTGTTGCAACAGATCAATAAAGATCAAGCTTACTAGCTGCTTTGCTTCTCAATATTCTCTGGTTGGCCTCTGTTATTCTCTCCTACCAATAGGGAACCTATGTAAGGACTCTATATGGGCTCTTGGATACCCCATAAGGGAAAAGGGCATATTTTATTTACAACAATGGGTTTTGTGGATCTCAGCCCTGGTAAAGCTTAGCTGGGAAAACAGAATTGCCAGTTCAACTAATCTGTAGAGATAAAAGGTTTTATGAACGTCTGGATTTATGTGTGTGTGTGTGTGTGTGTGTGTGTTTATATCTGAGAGACTCTTATGTGGTAGATATGATAACAGGAACTGAGATGGTTCTTAACGCCAAGAGAACTATTTTTTATTCCTACATTTTGCTACCCAGAATCAGAAAACGTAACAAGAAGCCCTTCGGTTCTTAGTCTTATTTTTTTAAAAAAACAATCCCCAGTATTTGAATCCCCAGTATTCTGTGCACCCCACAGAAAAGAAAGGCGCGCAGCAACCCAGCCAGGACCTTGCTTCGCTTTTTCTATTATCCAAAGGGGTTGGGTCAAATGGTCCCTAATAAACCTCCCCCGTCCCCGCCTTTTTCAGTTGTTTGCCCGGCTCCTTAGCCGCACCTCCGAAGCGCAATGAATTGCCAGGAAAGGTTGTTCTCACCTGGAGTTTGGCCTCCCGCCTCGGTCATGGCGCCAGCCTCCATCGCTCCTTAGGGGCTGCAGCCCATCCAAGCACAAAGGAACCGTCTCTAGGAACCATTGCGAGTCACCTTGTAGCAGCACGAGCGCTATACGGTGTTGCGCCCGGATGCAAAGGGTGACCGTAGAGATAAAAATTAAAGAAACGTAATCTACGTAATATTTGACCCGTGAATATTATAAACGGCATCATTCACACAGAGGCTAAATATATATATATATATATATATATATATATATATATATATATATATATATATATATATATATATATAAGAGAGTGTGTGTGTGTGTGTATGTGCCTTTATTTTTTAAATGCCACAGAAAATAGAAAAACTAGACGTTTAGACCCATCAATATAGGATATCAAACGCTTGACGGAGGAGTTTGAAAAGAGCGCCGGAAGTGAGGTGAAGGGGCAATAAACACACACACACCCTGACGCCACATCCGGCGGAAGGAAAAGGCCTCTCTGTTGACTGTTGGCGACGCTTCCGCTACTCGAGGTGTCGGAGGACCTCCTGCCGAGGCCATGGCGCCGGTGTCCCGCTCGCGGAGCCCAGAGGAGTCGCCGCCGCCGTCACGGCGGGATCGGAGCGGCAGCTCAGCCAGCCCTTCCCCGCCCAGGTCCAGCCGGAGCAAGAGGTCCCGAGCCCGGTCTCCGTCCCGGTCTCGGTCCCGCGAGCGCGGCGGAGGCGGAGGCGGGTTCCGTCAGCGGCCCGTCCCGCTTCACCACTTCGGCCACCGCCATGGCCCAGAGCACTACGGCAAGGAGCAGGAGGAGTCGCTGAGGCAGAGGTACGTGAGGAGGCTTGCTTGCTGGCCTCATCCGGGAAAGGGGCCTGGCGGGGTCTCCCCTCTTGAATATCTCCCCTTTCGAATATTTCATCCCTCCCTCCCTTCCTTACCTGTTTCGCGTTATTTAATGCGCCGCTTGATTGAGGCTTTCAAAAAGAGAGCAGCGCCGAGGCACGTTCGCCGCCCTCCTTTAAAAACATCGGAAGGTTAAATAAAGTACCAAGAGAGAGAGAGAGGGGAAAGTTACATGCAAGCTGTGCAGGGAAAGGTGCAGCTTCGGCTGAGGCTTCCCTTTCCCGCCTCCTCCCCGGGTGCCTGTTCATTTCCCCCCTTTTGCTAGCTGTACTACAAAACGGACAACTGTGAAATCAGTGTGGAGGATCTCAACCCAGGGATAAGGAACTTGAGGCTCTCTGGATGTAGTTGGCCATGCAGACTGGAAGTTGGTGCCCGGCAACATATGGAATGTCCCATGTTCCCCATCCCCGATCTATACGAATCAGTGTCCAAGTTTAACCAGTTTCTCGTAAAAAGTTAACACAAAGAGTGGTTGTGCCTTTATTACACCCCGAGTCGTTTCTCTCCCACCCTTTCAGAATGTAGGTATATGGTTAGTTTTGCCATATTTGCAGGTCTCCGTGCTTCCCTTATTTCTGTATACCAGGGTTGCTGTTAAAAAGCACAGAAGCAGGGCTGTTTTGGGGTTTTTATGACAATGTAATTCTAAACCATAACAAAACCATTTGAGACATAAGATCTAATATGTTGGCTTTATATGGGTTCCAATCCTTATTGGGACCAGATTGCTGACAGCCTACCGCCTTCAGAAGTTTTGATCATCTTTGACTTTGGAGCTTGGGATGGGGAAGAGATGTGAGAATGGGATCTTCTTGGTGGCAGCACTTTGCCTGTGGCAAGTAGTATTCCAACTCATCCCTTACCCTTGTTATATCATAACAGCTAGAAAGTTATTACCATGACTCCTAGCCACGGAGGTTTAAGGTGTGATACATAGTGCAATTTAAACTGATGAAGTCATGGCTAAATTGACTCAGTCTCAAGCATAAACCCTGTTCATACCTGCATGGAACTAGGTTTCATTCAATTCAGAGAGGATTTGCTTTTGAGTACATATGCAAAGGTTAGGTCGGGTAGTGATTTTGATTGGGCAACGTATCACTAAATGTTAGTCCATTGATGCAAGCATCTTGTATGTTGATATTGCTGTTGTGTAACTTTTGTTCTGATTTAAAACAATATCTTTATTTTTATTTATATCTTATTTGTATCACTTTATATTCTTAAGGAGGGGAAATATCAGAGCAGTTTACAACGCATTAATACATCAAGTAAAACAATCCAGAATAAAACATTACAGAAGAAAGTCAAGTATAAAGTATACATCCAAAGCAATATAATTAACAGGAAACTTAAATATTATTTTAAAGATTTCAAAATAAAACTTTACTAAAGGAATTCAGATATAAAATGCACATTTAAACCAGCATAACTAACAAGAGACTAAAATAGTATAACCACATAACGTTGCTACTGCCACTGCTGCTAATCCTGCCAGTGGGGTTTCATGGCAGGTAGCAGTTGTGGAAGTTCAGGCTTGAGGACCTGGGTTTCTACTAAGAGACAGCTGAGATGGTCTTTGGCCTCTTCAGAAGCCTCAGCTTTTGTAGCTAGTCAAGGCCCTTCTCTCCCAGGCCAAGTGGCAAAAGACATGCAACAAAGGGAGCAGGTGCCCCAGGACTCACAGTTAAGATGAGCCTTCAATGATCTCACCTCTCTTGTGACCTCTGGACATTAATTTGTCTAACCTCTTTAGCGTGTTCAGCAATGCTATGCATCTAAGGCAGAGCTCTCCAAATTTTGTGTCGTGACTTGTTAGTGTGTTGGCTGCAGTGCATAGGTGTGTTGTGCAAATACTCCCTGCGCTCCTCCCTGGATTGGAAAGGGGTTAGTTTAACCTCCGGTTTGCTAGTAAAACTGAATTACTGTGTAGCGAAATGATGCATGTCCAAAAACTGTATCACCGACATGAAATGTTTGGAAAGCTCTGATCTAGGGAGATTGTTTTCCCTTTCAGAAAAATTCAAATACTGTTACTGATAATTCAAGTTGTTTCTTGCCTTAGCAGTTCCATTCATCTGTGGGGAACCTCAGCCCAGGTCCAAACACAGTCTTCCTGGACTCCCTACATCATGCTCTCCTTCCGAGACACCCAAACTTGCACTGTTCACACCCTCCTTGCTGGCTTAAATGTATCATTGAACTGTGATAAAGCTTCTTAATTACCCAGACAGAGAGGTGTGTGTTGTGTGTATTAAGGATGGGCAATACTGTATCTGGTTTTCAACATCACAATATATCACCAGCTAAATATCACAATATCTTGCTACAGCACAATATATATCTGTGGTGGCGGAGGGCCTTGCTGGGCCTCCCTGTGGGGCCAGAGAGTCCTGCCATACCTCCCTGCAGCGGTGGAGGGTGTGCAGAGCCGTAGCTAGGTGATCTTGCGCCCCTGGCAGAACCGTCCAGATTCCGCCCCCTACCCATGGACAAATTATTCTTTCCACCTCTCCTCCAACCTCCCCCCATTCAATTCACCCTCTATTTCAAAAGCTTTTCTTATGAGGCAATAATTGATATTTTTATTTATGGACATATTTGTAGCCGATTTTGCACCTCCCCCTCACCTGCGCCCCCGGCGGGGGCCCACCTCACCACCTCCTAGGTACAGCCCTGAGGGTGCACATTGCTTTCCTGCAGCAGCAGAGGGCCTTGCCAGGCCTCCCTGCAGCAGTAGGGGTCTCACAGTACCTCCCCACAGTTGTGGAGAGTGCACTGTGCATCCCCGCAGCAGCAGAGGGTGCCGCTGTAGCTCCTTATGGTGGTGGAGGGTGCGCTATGCTTCCCTGCAGCAGCTGAGGGCCTTGACGAGGCTCCCTGTGGCAGTGGAGGCCCTAAAAAATGTAAAAGTAGTAGATTTAATAAAAATTGTAAATGAACTTCCATATATTATATTTAATATATTTTTCAACTAATTTATGAGTAGTTTAAGTGATTTACTAGTCATGTTGCATCTGCTTCCCCACACAGAGGTCTAAGTGGAATCTGTGCATGCTTAAGCCCCATTGAGTTCAACTAATACTGAAAAACACTCTCCTCATCATTCTCACACAGTACCCAACCTCCCATTTCAGCATAAGGCAGCCAGCTAAATCTTCTACCCTCCACCCCTGCCCCAAGCCCTCATCCTACCAATCGCTCCCTTTTTATCAAAGGAAGGGAAGGAAGGCAAACAAGCAAAAAGAGAGTCTCCTTTAAACTAAAAAAAAAAAATCACCCTTTTTAATATGGAGGAAAGCTTTTTAGGGGGAACCAACAACATAAACAGCACCAGAAAATAAAAACAAAAACTCTTCCCCCTCTTTTTTCCACTGGTGAGGGAAGAAAGATGTGCTTTCCAGTTCTTTGTTTACTTTGCCTCTTTGATTGACTAGCTGTGGGGGGGTCCCTCCTGGATTGCTAGCAGACTGAGCTCTTAAGTGGACCAGTGAATCTGAAAGAGCTTGCTGGTTTGTGTGAAGGTTTTTCTTCATTTCTCATGGGTTAGGAGAGAGGAGGGAAAGAGCAAACAAAGCTGTATACACTTTTCTACAAATTATTATAATGGATACTTTGCAGCAGTATCGGTATCTGCTGCAAAGTATCCATTCAGCTGAGCTACTTTCTGGAATACGGTCAAGTCTCTGCCTTATTGAAACACCTATAATGTTGTTATTTTGATACAATATGGCAATTTATTGCACAGCCCTAGTGTGTGCGTGCAGAAATCTCTTGACTGTTTGCATGACAGGAATATAGTCTACTGCGCAAAGCTAATATTGCTCTACCCATTTTTGTCTCTGACCCCATTCCCCACTGGCATGTGGGCCCCAGAAGGTTGTTGGTGAGGAAAAGTGGTTCTCAGGCTGAAAAACAGTTCCCCACTCCAGCCTAACCCTTTTTGCTCTATAGCAACACTGTCTCTTATCCCTGTGTTGCGCTTAATTTTTATACATGGGAAATATGTCCTGGGTTTTAACAGAGATTCATCTTTTACAGGCGATTAAACGAGAGAGAGAGAATAGGTGAACTTGGAGCACCTGAAGTTTGGGGATTCTCACCAAAGGTTCCTGACCCAGAGTAGGTTTGTGGTTTTTTAATAAATAAATAAATACTGCTGTTTTCATTGCTGTAACCTGTCTTGAGGACCTTCTCCTGAATTCTAATAAGGAGGATGGTGATTACCTTTATCCATTTTGTTTTGTTGTCCCCCCCATGTTGGCTTATTTAGCATCATGGTTTTGTCAAATGCATTTTGTGTTCAACTTTGCCACATTCCTAAAACCAAATTGTAGAATCCCTTGGCATATTTAGCCCCATATATAATATTTTAAAATCTGAACAGTGGTAAGCTCTCATACAGAAATTTATTTTATTGAAATACTTAACACTGAAGTCTTTATATGCTTTTGACCGCAGCTTTTCAAATTATGATGATATATTTTGCACTTCTACCTACACTAATATTGTTTTGTGCTCTTCCTTTAAATCTAGCTCTGATGAACACACTCCTGCAGAAGATGAAGATGGTACATCTAAAAAGAGCAGCTCTTCTGATTCCAGCTCAGAAGGTATTTTGCACTGATTTGGTGGCATTTGGGTAACATCATTAGTATTTGTAGGGACTGAGTTGTCTTTCCTTCCTAGAACGAATGCACTCCAAATGGAATTGCTAAAGTAAATTGCATCAATAATAATTAATGTTGCCAGTTCCTGACTCGGTGACCCTTCCCATTGCCTTAACAGTTGTCATATTATTTGCAAATGATGTCTCCCATACCTATGCAACAACAGTCCCCTACCTGTTCTAGAAAGCAAGGCTGCAGCCTGGCCTCATAGGTGTAGCAGATGCAATCTGTTGGTCAGGAAGTAACAACCCATGGAGTGGACTGTTTGGCTTGATTGTAAAAACATTTCATTTTCAAATTATTTTCAGAGGAGGAGAAGAGGAAGAAAAAGAAGAAAAGGAAGAGAAAAGCTGCTTCACGTATGTGTGAACCTGTTGTGCAAGACTTGCGTTGCCAGCTTGGAATTGGCCTCTTTCTTCTTTTGAGCTGCACACTTAAAGGGGATTCTCCCAACCCACCTACACTATAGTTCAAATAAGGAATAGCAAATTCCCATAGTCTTTAAAGTCATATTTATTATTCCATTCATTCTGAAGTATTAACTTCTTCAGTTGTCAAGAATTTTGGCAAATTGAGAATCATATCACAATAACCCCATAGTAACATTGATCCATTGGACCCTTAAGCTCCCAGGAAGATGAGCTACAATTGAATGATATTGCATGAATGTCCATAAATCACAGTGGGTTTTTTAAAAAATGAATATCACATGTGGCATAGTGGTGCTGGGCTCTCCAGCTCCCATTAGCCTCAGCCAATGCAGGGGTGATGACAGCTGCAGATTCTCATCAGGAAGGTCGCTGCTTTTCCATCCCTACTGTGAATAGTCCAGGACTGCAATGCATTATGCACTGGGGAATAATTGAATTCCTTATTCAGCTGCTATGTAATGTATATTAGGCTGGGAAAGTGAGCAGGTGGTTCAAAGTTACCCAGTCGGCTTCTTGGCTGATTTGGAATTTCTGTTCTGGTCTTCCCAGTCCTAACACAACACCATTCACTATACCACACTGGTTTTCCACCCTTCTTTCACTCAAACATTTCATGCCTTACCCCTGCTTATTTTTGTTTTTCTTTGTTATTAACATTTCAGGTGATGAGGAAAAAAAGAAATCCAAGAAGAGGAAAAAGAAGCATAGGAAGTAAGAGCTGTTTTTTTAAAAAAACTTGTAAAATTGGGGAGGGTTTGTGTGTTTCATAACACTAGTATCAAACTCCCTGTTTCCCCAGCTACTATGTTGTCACCAAGAGAACTCTTGACTCAGCTTTCAACTTCTGCTTTTTTGTTTATTTCATTTTGCATTGTTTATTTCTGTTTTGGATTTTATTTTGCTTTCCTTTTGGTCTGGTTATTGTCACCAGTTATGTCAATAATGTAGTTAAAGTTTTGTTAGTAAAAATATATGGAACAAAACTAAGACGGCATTCATCTGAAAGAAAGCCTCACTGAACTTGATGAGAGTGGTTTCTGAGTTTGTGTTGTAAAGGAAAAGAGAAGGGGGGCCAAATGTGTTTATGCTCTCAGTGTTTCACATCTTCCTTGTGAGCAAGCTTTGTTCTGCATTGTGTGTTCTGTATGCTCCCCAAAAGGCCCAAGATTTTTATTTGGCCCCAAAAAGGTTGTTTTTTCTTGGGTTATGGTTTCCCCCCCATAGTATCCTTTATACACATGGCTTTTCTTTAACCCTTTCATTTATAATATTATTAATATTGATAATATTATTGTAAGCGACACTAAGCCAAAACATTTCTTCTTGTTCTTTCCAACCTTTCTTCTTTCTTGTTTTGATTTTACATATTTATCCCATTTCCCTCTCACTTCTCAACAGAAAAAAGTCCAAGAAAAAAAAGAGTAAAAAGAGCAGGAAAGACTTCAGCGAGTCAAGCAGCGAAGATTCTGATGACGACGAACAGCAAGAGGATGATCTCTGGATTGAGAGATCAAGTAGGTTTTGAATGCTCATAGCTTATTTGAAAAGCCTGCACACAGGAACAGCCTTCACTGTTAGATTGGTCTTTGCTAAGGAAAGGCATCCCTAAAGAGATGTCAGCTGATGTATGCTTTAAATTTATTCCTTTTGTAAGATGGTTATTTAGTTTATATGTATACCCTACCTTTTCCAACAGAAAAAAATCAGGTGGGCTAATAAAATGAATATGCCATACAAAACAGAGCAGACCACTGGAAGGCTACCTTCCTTTTGTGTAGAGTGGCTGGCTGCTGATGGAGCTCAAAGTGGGAGGGAGAAGATGGACGTTAGGCCAGGCAAACCCCACAGAAAGGGTGGCAAGGATAAAATTTGTACAGTTGGGTTAAAAAAAACTGGTTAAATAATGCATTAGAGAAGGTTTTGGCTTCATTCTTCCTTTTATTGCTTTCTTGCAGAAAATGCAGATGCTGTGGATTTCATAGGACCAGAAGCTCCCATTACTCATGCCTCTCAAGATGATCGGCCCTTGAAGTAAGTGCTGCACCTTTAGCTTATTTCAGCATTTGAAATCCAAGGTAGCCCAGGAATCCAAATACAGTTCTTAACTATTATATAGCATATTTACAGAGTTCACAGAGCTCAGATAACAGAGCATATATAATCCTTAATAATCCTCAGCAAGCATCCTATAAATTAGATCTATACTATGTTTCCTGTACAGTGGTACCTTGGTTCTCAAACTTAATTCATTCCGGGAGTCCGTTTGACTCCCAAAACAATTCGAAAACTGAGGTGCAGCTTCTGATTGGCTGCAGGAGCTTCCTTCAGTCAATTGGAAGCCACATCAGACGTTCGGCTTCAGGGAAAAACGTTCGCAAACTAGAACATTTCCAGGTTTGCAGCATTCGGGAGCTGATTTGTTTGACAACCAAGCCATTTGGGAACCAATATACAACTACTACAGCTGAGTGGGTCTGGAAAAAATGGTAGCTTGCTTTAAGTCCGTCTTTTTCATTTGTGACTAAGGTGAAATTTGATGTGGGAACTTCCTGCTCTCATTGGCACTTGGATGGATGTATGTTCCAGAAGGTGTCGTTTCATGAGTTGAAAATATGGGCCACAATTGTGTGCCCTGACCTTCTGGTGGACTATAATCTCCCTAACTTCCCAGTGCTAATGCACGTGAGAGAACTGTGCTAGAGCCTCATGAAAACTTCTCTATATTTTGGCTTTCGATGCTGTGACATATGCTTAAACTACATGTTCTTACACTTCCTTTTCTAACATGTCTCACCTTGACAGTGAAGGGAAACAGGTAGCAATGTGGAAAAGAACAAACTCTGGCTGCACTGCTTGTCCCAGCATTTTCTTATTGTTGCCCAGACAAAATGGAGAGCTTAACAGGAGGAAATCCAGGTGGAATAATGAGGCCAAAAGAATTAAAATAGTGGAGAAAAGACCCACCTACCTCCTTTTGCCCTGTCTATCTTAGAGGCAATTTGTAAGGATTCTAGGATTGCAATGGTGAACTGAGAAGGGATTCAAGGTTCCGGCTTCCCTTACCTATCTAGGTCTTCTTGCACAAAATGGGCCTGTATATGAAATAATACTTTTAAGTTGTCTTGCTTTGTCCTTTGCAGCTTCTCTGTATCCATAGCTAGAGAGAGAAGTCAGCAGGGCTTTGGGGTGCCTTTTTTTTTTTTTTTTTTTTTGGTAATGTAATGATCCTGTCTCTTTCTTAAAGCTATGGACATGCTTTACTCCCCGGTGAAGGCGCTGCCATGGCGGAATATGTAAAAGCTGGAAAACGCATCCCTAGGAGAGGTGAAATTGGTCTAACCAGTGAAGAGATTGCATCATTTGAGAAGTCTGGCTATGTGATGAGCGGCAGCAGGTGAGCGTTCTGGTGGGGATTGCTGTGAAATTTTGCTGCTGTTATACAGTGTAGGGGGAGACATTTGGGTAATGGCTAATAGAAATTGAGCTAGTAATGAAGGAAGTCTTCTCTTCCTGTTGAACATTACTGGTTTTTTGATGTGCATCATGTTTCTCTTCAGGCACCGGAGAATGGAAGCCGTGCGTCTGCGTAAGGAGAACCAGATCTACAGTGCAGATGAAAAGAGGGCCCTGGCATCTTTCAACCAGGAGGAGAGGCGGAAGAGAGAGAACAAGATTCTGGCAAGCTTCCGAGAGATGGTCTACAGGAAAACCAAGGGCAAAGACGACAAATGAGCAGGATGCTCTTCTTGTGCATATTGACAATCGTCTCCTATTACAGCGATTCACAAACAGGTGTCCAGCATCACAGCCCTACTTGTAGGGTGTACTGCTGGTTGAACTTCAGGAAATGGTTTATATGTATCAATAGGAACCTTGACAGGTGTATGTGGATAGCCTGTTCACAAATTTGCTGTACGGCATTAACAGCAGCAGAAGGACAATGACCTAAATGAAATGAGACAAGGCTCTATTGCAGACTATCCCAAAATATTGCTAGGAATCCAAGGTACTGTGCCAGTTGGAGGATTTAAAAGACACTTTGTAAAATTCTGAGCAGCAAATCAAGACTTGTGGAACTGAAACTTGGCATTTTGTTAAAGTTGCTTTGTTTTCAATCCTTTGCTAAGAGAATGTTGAGTGTACAGTATGAGTCACAGAGTGGATCAGACTGATCTTCAAATGGCATTAGATAACCAAATAAATGTTGGTGCGCATATATATATATATATATATATATATATATATATATATATATATGAATTCTTGGATGCCAACATCTCAAGTTCTGGGCAAGTACTCTTTGGTGAGAGAATCCCAGCAGGGAATTGGAAGGCCCAATATATTCAGCAAAGTAAACCATGGAAATATAGGCTGTTTTACCTTTAAAATATGCGCTTTCAAGTGAGTTCCAAATTTTCCCTCTTCCCCCAGAATGGGATATGACCACACATTTGGCAAGTTACAAGATTGTTTACTAACAAACTCTCCAAAGGTCAGATTCATGTGCTCTTCCACACATCAGTCAGAAAAGTTGCACAGGCAGTAAAACTTAACTTAGTTACAAAGTGATGAAAGTTCCTAGACATAGGAAGTGAACTGGCATAGGAAGTGAAGAGTGGTTTGTGAGAAGCCATGCTGCTAAGCTGGAGTAACCAGTTCAAACCTCTTCACATGCTAAGGTGCTCAGGTAGACTGGGAGGAAATGATAGGTTTGATTCCCAAGGTAAGGGAACTGACATAGCTAAGCCTGGCAGGACAGCTAACTCTATTGTATTAACCATTTCATGCGTTAATTAGACTTAAGCATGTTGGTTATATGGGGCTAGTTATCCCACAATAACAGATGGTGCAAATTTATTGTACCATTGATTGCACAAAGACAAAAAGTCATTAACACAGCCTTTCTAAGCTTCAGAACAGATTTGTTTGTTGTATATTAGTGAGACTTGATTCTCTTTTACTAGATTTTAAGTGACTTAAATTATAGTCATTTTCAGTGGCTCTGATTCCTTGTAAATAAAGTTGGAGCAGCTCACTTTGTGCAGATTTGTACATTTTAAGTATTAATATATTTTATAATTTTAATGAGAAGCTGTATAATGCTGCAGCAGAGTGTCTTCCAGTGACTAGCCTGTTACTGAGCCAGCAGTGTAATGGGCATTTGCGCCCTCCCGTTTCTCTTAGTACAGATTTGCTTTCATCATCCTGTACATTAACTAGTATGGGGAATCTGACTGATAGCTCATCAAGAGAGAGAACTATTTGAAGATTGGAAGCATCTTCCTACCTGACTTCATTGTGCAAATAGAGTTTCAGTGGAATGAAACAGGTTAGATATCCACAGGCTTTGATGGGCTGAAAACATGACCCCTATTGTAGGCAAAGTCTTTATGCCAGTATTGAAATGTGTCTGGCATGTGCCACCCACTGTGACTTCTGAGCACCTCTGCTCTTTCAGAAGCTTCAAACCCCTTCTAAAAAATCTCCCTCCCAAGTTCAGGGGACCGTCAGGGGCACAAGGAACTGTGATGCAAAATTTGGGAGGGAGTGGTGAAGTCATAAAATGTGTACAGGGAGTGGGCTTGATGTGCATCCTGTGTACCATTCCTTTCACAATTCCAAAACCACGTATTATTTCCGGAAAGTTACATTTAAAATTGTTCCCCTGGGTGCACCTTAGTTGTTTTTTATCTATGGCTTGTCAGTTTCAAGCCATGACTCGTTCTTTCAAACAACTATAAAAATAAACATTTGACAGTGTTTGAAAGCACTTGCCATTTGGAAAATTGGAACTCGGGGCTGTGGCTCACAAGCAGGTCTTCAATAAAGATCACATGTCAACGGCTTAGTGTGCATGTTGCAGTCTATGGTAAAACCCTGACCAGTAGGTCCAGTCGTGACCGACTCTGGGGTTGCGCGCTCATCTTGCTCTATAGGCCAAGGGAGCCGGCGTTTGTCCGCAGACAGCTTCCGGGTCATGTGGCCAGCATGACTAAGCAGTCTATGGTACTATTACTCAAATAGGTGAACAACTGGGACTGTTGAGAGCAAGAATTCCCAATAATAAAATTGTGGGATGTAATCCATTGGTGCAGTCAAATGCAACATTCCTTGTTTTCCTAGAGTGGACACAGGCAGGGGGACATCCAGTCAGTGTAACTTCCTATACCACCGGTCGGGAGCTCCTTCCACTGCTTGTGACCTGGGAGATGGGCATGGCTCTGGCTGACTCCTTAAAAGAGCCGAGTCATGCAGCCATTTTCTCACTTCTTGTTTTTCCTCTTGTCTTCCTTGCTGATCTTTTGCTGCCACGCTGCTCTCCTGCAACCATTTTCTATTCTTCATGTAATTTTGTTGTCTGCTGGCTCTTAGCCAGCAGCACAAGTTCAGTCTCCATATGAGATGAACTCTCAGTTTCTTTGTGTAACTACTAAGTAAAGTCTGCCTTTCAGGAATCATATTGTGAACTGAAATGTGAGTAAACTTTTTGTTATTTTACTCAGAAAGACGCTTGTGTCTTTATTCTTTTAAGAGGAATTAAAGGCAACACCAGAAAATAATCTTAACTACGAGATTCAAACGAATCTGCAAACTAGCTTCCAGCTATATTGAGGGGAATTTGCTCTGCTACATCATAATACTTTATAAATACAGTGGTACCTCGGGTTAAGAACTTAATTTTTTCTGGAGGTCCGTTCTTAACCTGAAACTGTTCTTAACCTGAAGCACCACTTTAGCTAATGGGGCCTCCTGCTGCCACCGTGCCGCCGGAGCACGATTTCTGTTCTCATCCTGATGCAAAGTTCTTAACCCGAGGTACTATTTCTGGGTTAGCAGAATCTGTAACCTGAAGTGTCTGTAACCCGAGGTACCACTGTATATCCTTCCCTACCATCCTTAGCATTTCCACAAAAACCATTAAGCATATTTCAATGAGTTTAAAGAAAAAGAATACATAAAACATTTTAAAAGGTAGAGGAAAACAAAAATAACAATACAACAGTAAAATATAATTATTCCCAATAGTAAGGGATAATGGGAGTTGTTGTCCAAAACATCTGGCGGTCTAGCTTATGACACAGAGTGACATGCAAATATAACCCCTTGCAAATTCCCTTAAGAAGAGTTTTGCAGACATTGGCAGTGTGGCCATATCTGTGTAAGCAAAGCTTCATTTCCTAACATGGTACCCTCCAGATGTTGTGGAGTACAATTTGCATCTGTCCCAGCCAGCCTGGTGAATGGTCATGAATTATGTAGGGAGGGGAGCACCACGTTTGCTACCCTTGGCCTACATAGACTTGGAAGGTTGCAGTAAGTAGAGATCTCTGCCATGTCTACTGCAAGATTAAGGGCACTGATGCTTTGCGGGTTTGATCAAATAACATTTACTCTCCAGGAATTAAGCCTTCTAACACAACACAGAAAGACCAAAACTGAGAAGCTGACTACAGATATGCACAACTTTTATTTATAAAAACTAGCAGAAAACCTAAAAGAGAGTTTTTAGTTTGTAACAATTCTAGAGGAACTAAAAAGTGATGGTCTCCATCATGATTATTTTGCTTTCAATCACATCTTTGAGCCATTTTTCTTTGAATCGAGACTCTCCTGGCCTATAGAGAGAGACAGCAGAAGAAATATAACACAAGAGTTGGGTTACTTAACACATCTGAGTTGGGAACTATGGTTTGTTTGTTTGTTTGTTTTGTTTGTTTGTTTGTTTGTTAAATTTAATTCCCTTACAATATTCATCATAATCATCTACTATCTGCAGGTCTTAAGTTCGGGTTACAACAGTTTAAAATAAAAAAACATTACGGTCACAGGAATAGGGTGGATCCTGATTTTTAAAAATGGCCTGTTTTGACATTGCTCAAATGCACTATGTGCTAACACTTCTGTCCTGATGTCTGTGCCACCTTTAGCTTGTTCCTGCACACATCTGTACTTTTAATGCACTGATTTGTGCCTTTTAACCCATTTATGGTGACTTTAAAAAAAACCCACAGGAAAAAAACTTAAATTTCTGCAACCAAAATCTGAGTGCTCTTGCACACAGAAAAACCAAAACAAAATTTGTGTCAAGGGATGGTATCCAGTGAACTTGTTCCATGAGCTAGGGCTGCCATAAGTCCAGAATTTCAAAGCTGATGTCTGGGGGCAATTTCAGAAAGGCAGTACTTTATCCTGGATCTTAGGCAAGTCAATCGAAAAATCGTGATGGGGGGGGCATTCTTTGTCAAAGCTCAACAACTTTCTGGGTGTCCCGGATTTTTACTTTTTGAAATATGGCAACCCTACATTAGCAGAAGGATTTACACTTGCACAATTGAATTTTGCCCCCTCTCTGCACACTCATAATCAACTCCTGAGAATTGGGGGAAACCCAGGACAGATCTTCGAGTCACACAGGGGTATACAAAGGCGCGCACTTTGCACAAGTGTAAATTCCTGCACTACCAGAATGGGTTACTTAACACTACATTGGATGCACCCCTCTTAGGTCCCTAATGTAAAACAAATCTCAGTCAGTCATAGGAATGGTGTCCAGTAATGAGCATGTGATCAAATTTTGGGGAAGCCTCTTAAACTCAGGGCACATATTGAATAAACAATCCTTTAGCACTAAGCAGCAGAATCCTAGACATTCCTGGTAGGTAGGTATAGGATTGCAGGCTAAGAGATGAATCTTCAGTGAATGTAGTTGAAAAAAACAAAAAACAGCCATGTGTCCTGCAAACTAGCAGATTATGGTACATTTCTTTGCAGCTGATTTCTGCACAAGAGCAGGCCTGGCCTCTTCTAAGCCAGCTGTCCTAGTTGCAAATCAAAGAGACACAGAGAAAGGCAGGTACAATTCACTCCTAGATGGGTTTGCAAGATCTTTTCCCATAACAAAACATTCAGCAGAATTTATCATACCACCATTATTTCATGGATTATTTTTAAAATAGAAAATACCTGTGAATTAGCTTATTCGTCTCCACCACAAAGAATACTTCAACAGGTAATGTCTGCATTAAATGAGGGAGAGGAAAAAAACACACTCTGAGAATGTTGGGCTTCCATTTTGCTTTTTAAAATCACTCTTCCCTACAAGGGCATTCTGGTCCTCATGGACACTAGTAAACTCAAAATGTAATAGCAATAGGAAATTTGCAAGCAAGAGAAGAATGTTGGGGTCTGATGGGCGCGCCTCTAGGGTCTATGTATACAATAAGCCTCTGCGACTCAACCTTTCCAACTGGGAAAGGTTACAAAATTGTATTTCAGTTATTTTTAAACATTCATCAAAATAAATTCCAGGATGGTGTACTGCATATGCAGATTAAAATGCAATAATGATAATAATAAAAGAACAGTATCCTAAAAAGGCAGCAGTAGTTAGTCTTTTAACTTGGAAAAAAAGGAGAGGAAGACTTGGTCAAAGTGTGTAAAATTATGAGTTGGGTGGATCAGCAACAGTTTTCCTCTTCTTACAAAACAAGAAGCCAGGACATCTGATGAAGCTGATAGAGAGATGCAGGACAGGCAAAAGGAAGTGCTTCTAGGTTTAAGGAACCTTTGACTCTCCAGATGTTACTGACCTCATCATCCTTTACCATTATGGGTTGTTCTTGCTGGGGTTCATGGAGGGTTGTAATTCAGCAACAAATGGAGGGCCAAAAGTTCCCCATACCTGCTCTATTGGTTTTTAGCTGAGGTTCTCTTGCCTTGTTCTGCTGTTTTTATCCCTGGCATTTTGCTGCTGTCTGGTTTACTGTACTGTATTGTTTTCACTGCTTCTGCAGACCCCCTTGAAGCAGTGTAAGTTCTATACATAAACCAATTCACATTAGAGACATGTGGGGTCACATTCCCCGCCTCTGCTGTTTTTTGGGTGGATGACAAGGTAAATCATACCTAGAGACAGAAGTATATGGGAAGATCCTTTCCTGTTTGTACCATTACAGAGGAAACTGTCCAAAACTTGTTATTGATTATTTGCAACGTAAGTATTAAAGGTAAAGATAAAGGGACCCCTGACCATTAGGTCCAGTTGTGGCCGACTCTGGGGTTGCGGCACTTATCTCGCTTTATTGGCCAAGGGAGCCGGTGTACAGCTTCCGGGTCATGTGGCCAGCATGACTAAGCCGCTTCTGGCGAACCAGAGCAGCACACGGAAACACTGTTTAGCTTCCTGCCAGAGCGGTACCTATTTATCTACTTGCACTTTGATGTGCTTTTGAACTGCTAGGTTGGCAGGAGCAGGGACCGAGCAATAGGAGCTCACCCCGTCGCGGGGATTCGAACCGCCGACCTTCTGATCGGCAAACCTTAGGCTCTGTGGTTTAACCCACAGCGCCACCCGCGCCCCATAACGGAAGTATTACTGCAACTAGTATTGTTAAAGTTAGAAACTGCTTACATGCCAAAATGGCTTCTACAAGTATAAAATCAGTTACAAAATCAAAACATAATTTAAATACATGACAAAACAATTCCATCAAAGCCTTAAAAGCTTTCATAATTAGACTATACTATAAATGTACAACAGTTTAAATAGTTTATAAACAATTAAATGAGGAGGGTGGATTTCAATGTCATGGTTCATAATCATTTCGTCAGCACAAGTATTTCTGATATTCCTCTCCTCCAATTTGTGGGGGATGTGGGGACATGATGGGGCAGAAGAGCGGGGGGAAAGTCTCATAATGCTGACAGGAGTATTTAGACTGTCTGCCACTAGCACAATTATTTAGTTGGAGTTCTTAGGAAGTTCAAGTTCAGGGGACTGTTCTGCCTAAATATGTGAGCCTTCAAATAAAGGGCATGAAGGGAGTGTGATCAAGCACTTGGCAAATGATCAAGTTTATAGATCTCAGAAGTTCAAAATTGATCCTAATGACGGTGTTCTCTCCCCCTTCCTGCTTTTTTTATTTTATATAAGAATATTTAATTATCCTCTGGGCTTATAGGTCTTCAGAGGCAATGTCAAAATACTTACTGATGGTCTGATTTTGGAAATCTCTATGACGAAATAGACACATGCTGTTGCTCGTGGGATGGGCTTTCTACAGGTTGGGATACTCCAGCGGACCCTGTAAAAGTATCTCGTGGAATACTCCAGTTCCTCCTCGCTGATATAGTTTGTCCAATGTAGCCAGCTCTCATGAAGCTCCCATGTCTGTGGAATAAACATAAGCCATGATGTGGCCCCATGCACAAGCATTTGCTCGCCTTTGCCAGCAATTGAACATAGTGGGTACAACCCGCTGTGTCAAGCACATGTCGAGCCTTTGGCGTTATCAGAATTGCAATGTTATGAGTCACACAATAAGGACTCCTGCTTTCAAATCCCCTGCCAGGCTGCAAAAACTCTCTGACTGACTGGGCCATTTGCTTTCTCCCAACTTTACAAGGTTGTAGTGAGGAGGATTAGAAGCAGGTGAAGGTTTGAGGCTGTGATCTGAGGGCACATGATGCAGGTGTGATCCAGGCCCCATTCATGGCTGCCTTTCACTTTAAGATGGCCCAGTACTGATCACCCACAGCCTCTGGGAATCTTTTGGCTATGTCATGGTAGGCAATCAATACCTTTGTGATTGGCTGAGCAGGCCAGCTGTCAGTTAAGACCCACCTGGGTAAGAAACTCTTCAAATTGGACTGTTGCCATACAGTCCCTTGTCTGCCCAATTGACCATCCCATCTATACTGCAACAAATGTGGAGATCAGAAGCCCATTCGTAGGTAGCTGCAATAGAACTGACCTACTAGTGAAGGGCAGTTAACAACAACAGCAACTTTTTAAAAGTCTTGCAAACACAAACCGTTCTTTGCTCCTTGCTTAAAGTCTGTGGAGGCTTCCCCATAGGAGCTGATAATTGTTACCTAATATAAAAAGATGATTCATTTGTGAACCTGCATACACATAAAAATGTGCACCACTATTTATAAGGATGTGACAAAAGTGTTACCTGCCCAAAGATAGGGTTGCCATAGATGGATCCTAAGGGGAATGTGGTGCTGGCCTACCTGAGAGCCGCTGGCATGAATGGATTGCCTGCACTAGTGGTCATTAAAGGATGGGAGAGAAAAAGGCCTCTCCCCCACCTTCTGTCACAGCAGCCAGATAGTGAAGAAAAACAGGGTTGGGTGGGGTTTGTGCATGTACTCTGCCGTGAATTCCATGGTGGAAAAACGATGGCTATAAATGAGCATAAATGTTTAACTGTGTGGTTGAGGATGTACATTGACTGCACGTTCCTTTGGTATTTTCACATGAGGTGCGGAAGAACTTGCAATTAATGATAACAGCCAGGTTCACTGCCTGATCAGAAGGTCAGCGGTTCAAATCCCCACGACGGGGTGAGCTCCCGTTGCGTGGTCCCTGCTCTTGCCAACCTAGCAGTTCGAAAGCACGTCAAAGTGCAAGTAGATAAATAGGTACCGCTCTGGCGGGAAGGTAAACGGCATTTCCGTGCACTGCTCTGGTTTGCCAGAAGCTGCTTAGTCATGCTGGCCACATGACCCGGAAGCTGTATGCCGGCTCCCTTGGCCAATAAAGCGAGATGAGTGCCGCAACCCCAGAGTCGTCTGCGACTGGACCTAATGGTCAGGAGTCCCTTTACCTTTACCTATGCTATTAGTCATTCATTGCTGTATATTTGATGTACTTGCAGCGAGCTTTTGAAAAATTTGAAATCTCTGTGGTAGCTTTTGTTATGTGAAGGGTGCCACAGACACTCTGGGTGGGTTATGCAGACCCCTTGAGGGAACCACTGATCTAAAGGATTGCACTGTGTGTTACCTTTAATGCCACCAAACATACAGGCCCTTTCCAGCTGATTCTCACAGCATATTCATGCATCCAGACAGTCATGTCACTTGGCTAAAGGCATTGAGTAAGTATCCAATTTTAAACTTACTTTTAAATAATCCTCAATCTGTGCCAGTCCATTAAATACTGTGAAATCCTTGCACTTCATCCATGTAATATTTGGTACTGGATATTTGATTCCTGGAACTGAAGGGAAGGGAATAAGTTAATCTCCGGTATGGGTGGCTTTTATACCATCCAGGAGGCATCAAAATCATAGCAAGTTAATATTGCAATACCTGCCTCTGTCTTTTGCAGGTGTCTAATAGTGTATATTGCATCTCTGATAACATTTTTCACAATAGACTCTGCTGCCTTCCTGATGGCTTCTAGAGCTGGATCTTCAGCTTCCATGGATGCATCTACAGCTTTCACAGGTGCATCCTTGCCTTCCACGTTACTGGTCAACTCCTCCATTGTCCACAAGTCTAGAAGGAGAGGACGAGGATAGCACACAGGGTCATAAGGATCATTGCTCAGAATTTGACCTACACAGCAAGCAATAACCTACTCTGCCACTGCTAATCATAGAAAAGATCAAAACCCCATCGCCATTCTTAAGAAAAACATTTTGGGCTGTTACACAGGGCAGACCTGGTTTACCACTGAGTGTATGCTCACTTGCGAGCTGCAACTAATCCTGGTTCCCTGTAAAAACACCGAAAGGGCCTTATACTGAATCAGCCTATTGGCCTACCTAGCTTGCCAGCATGGGACCGGCAACAGTTCTCCAGGGTTTCAGACAGGATTCTTTCCCAACCCCAATTAGAGATGAGGTTGTTGGTTTTTTTAACCCTGGGCCCTTTTGCTGCAGAGCATGTGGTTCCACCACCGAGCTATGGCTCAAACACATCTTTGTCACATTCTTTCATTACATTTTGCAGTGTACACCTTGAAAAGTATTCGGTGTATGCCTGCAAATCATAATCTGCAAAGAGGGAATGAGAAATCATGAACAAGCCTGTGCCTTTGCATTCCTTTAGTCCTCTCATTTCCACTGCGTTCAGCCACAAATGCAAATAATTAAGAATGAGAAAGTGGGTACTCATTGGTCTGAGAAATAATCACCAAGGGATGTTGTACGAAAGTCAGCACTTCCTCTGATCCCGCAAAGGATAGTAGATCACTCCATTACCAGCTTGAAAGTGCTTTCCAGATGCTTTTCTCTTGTGATCGGAGCTGCTTTATTTCCTCCGAGATCCAGGTTCCCAGGGCTCATTAAGCAGCGGGCTCTCAGGCCTCTGTGACAAGTGTTTGGTCACAATCATTGCCTGGGCAACAGCAGCTCATCCAATAGAGCTGCAGGTTTGATGTACAGGCATTCCATCCTACTGAAAGGAAAAAAGAACGCTGGTGGAGATCAGCTCTTAGCACACAGCGTGCAGCCAATGATATTGTTAGGCGTTCAAGAGGCTGGGAAGGGATTAATGCGAGTTGGGTGGTGTTTTCACGTTATAGAGCAGGGCATATCAGCCCACATCATACGTGCACTTTTTGCATGTTAATTTTTTGGAGGGGTGGGAGGGAATTGGGGGTGAAGCCCTTTAGAATGACCATGGTTAAAAGATGCATTTGACTGGAGGGAGGAAAATTATTGGTGCTTTCTAGGCCACAAAATTTGGGCATGCAGCAACCCAGTTTGTGAACTCGCTAACCATTAAATAGCCAAACATAGGCTGCGTACACACCACTGCTTCCCCAAAAAACTATAATTCACACCCCTCCCCAGGGTAAAATTCCCAGCACCCTTAACAAACCACAGGTCCCAGGATTCTCTGGGTACAGTCAAATGCTTTAAATGAGCATTAAATGTATTACATGTGAACAACCACAGAAGAGGAGGCCGGCTGCATCTCTGCAAGATTTGCTGCTCTGGCTTTCCCACTATCGAATCAGCCTCTGTCTCCTAGCTGTATACTTGTCAGGATGGGAAATTAACGGTGTGCTGTTCCCTAAAACATAATTTAGACTCATCCTTCCCTCTTTTCCCATGGCCTGAAACAAAGCCTGTCGCAAGCCTGTGTTAAAATCCTGACAGGGAGTGATGTTTGTATAATCCTATTAGATTACCAACACCAGGGTGGAGCCTGAATTGGCATTTGAAAGCACACAAGTGACATTTCTGCATAGAATGTTATCATGGCTGTATCCCTACTCATTCAGAGAAGCTGTAGAATAGCTTGCCTTTACAGAAGGCTACATACTGCAACTCTTCACAAGCATATCAGGAGATATGCCAAGAACAATGACTCATGCATAATGACTCCTTACTGTTTGTAATCAGAGGCCCTGTACCTTTTTGTCAGGAACAGGGAACTCGTGGCCCAGATATAATACTTGAAATCATCATTCGCCCCAACCAGCCTGGCCAAACGCCAGGGATGCTGGAAGCTGTAGTGCAGGGATGGGGGAATCTGCAACGCTCCAGATGTTGCTCCCTCAGCCCTGCCCATTGGCCATGCAGGTTGGTGAGCTGGAATCTGACCACATCTGGAGGGCTCCAAGTTTCCCACCCCTGCTGTAGTGCTTCAACACCTGGAGGCCTATAGCCATGTGTTATGTACTGAGTTGAATAGGATCCAAAATGCAGCAGTCTGATTGGTCTGCAGGAGCCACCCAGTCCAGCTCCAGGTGAAAGTGAATCCGCAACCTGATTGGCCTACAGGAGAATCCCGGAATTAGCCAATCACGTGGGGCCCATTGTGTAAATAATGCATATAAAGTAGACAGTTTGGAGGAACTTCCATTCCTCACTACTATGAGCTGAATAAAGAGCATGAAATCCACACTCGACTCCAAGTATATTTCACCATGCCACTCCTGTTTTTAAGGCACTTCTGGCTGGGATGCAAGGCAGGGCCTGTTTGGTTATGGCTCCCAGGATATGGAACTCCCTTCCCCTGGGAGACTTGATTGGCCCCTTCAATAATGGCCTTTTTGTTAGCTGTAACAAAAGAGAACACCCAGCTTTTCCAGGACTTTAGTCTGCATTGGGTTTTAGTACCTCTGCTGTGAAGTCTTCTGGAAATTACCATTTTAATTTTGGATTGGATTGGAAGAGCTTTTACGGTCTCTTTCACCCCCACCCCCACCCCTAAAAAACAACCCAGGGTAAAAGCGTTTGGATTAAATAAAATAAAATAAACCACAGTGGATCATCTCATGTGCAGGTGCTTAGTTCTTGCACATTCTAAAAGAAATCAATGCATGTTGGTGCCCCCAGTTTTAGAAGCGACAATAATGTCATCTCAGAAGTTTTGGAAACAATGATTGAGATCTTTCATGTTTTTGAGTGTGAGATATTTAGCCTCCAGATCAGCCGTCTCCTCTAACTGCTTGTGACAGGAAATCTGGTTTCCAGTTTTAATCAATTTTCAAACGCTTGTTCTGGATTTCTCTGAAAAACAAACCAGGCTTTTTATTTATTTCAGTGACCTCAACTGCTGCAAAAGACACGTGCGGATAGGAAGCACAATGAATTTGCCATTATTAGAGGGCCAAGTCCTACAAACAGTTTTCTACAACAACAACAATTTTTTTTTTTTTTGCAAGCAATGTGGTCTTTTTTTCTTCTTCCACTGATTTTGAACTACAATCCCAATCATTATTTAAAAACAATAAACTAAACTTTAGAAACTGAAACACAGATGAAATATTGTCACTCATTTGGGAAGGAACATCCACAAATTCTCAGAGCAGAAATGGTTTTAGTCTCTCACTTGCTGGAAATGTTTATTAGTATTAGTATTAAGTACTAGACATAATTCACCAGAAACTGGAGCTTTTCGCAAGCTTTTAAAGTGTTATAAGTGTGGGATGACCAGTCTCATATAACCAACATTATTAAGACTAATTAACGCATAAAGGGGTTAAAACCATAGATTAAGCTGTTCTGCCAGTCTTAGCTTAGGTCACTTCCCCTTATCTTGGAAGAAAATAAGTAATCAAGTCTATTGTTCACCATCAATCTACCTGAGAAGCTCAATGTGTAAAGAAGTTTGAGGTGGGTGCTGCAGCTGAGATTGAATGGCTCTCACAAGCTACTCTTAAATTCCTATACTAATAGGAACTTTCACCACTGTAACTACCGTAATCCCAAGTTTTACTGCCTGTGCAACTTTCTAAAGCACATGAATCTTGACTTTTAGAAAGTTTGTAAGTAAACCATTTTTAGCTTACCAAATGCGCCATCTTTTCCTATGCTGGGGAACGAGGAAACTTTTGGAACTCGCAAGGGCATATTTTAAGGGTCTAACAGCCTATATTTCCATGCTTGACTTTGCTGCATGTTTTGTGATTTTAAATCTCCACTGGGGGTCTCTCAGCAAAGAGTACACGCCGCCCCAAACCTGGATCTTGGTATCCAGGGAATAGTCCTTTCTGTACCTATTACTGGCCAATGACTCATCTAGTCCAGCAGTCTTCTCACAGCAACCAGTCAAACGCTTCTGGGAAGCTCACAAGCAGCACCTGAATGTAACAGGTTTCAGCAACTGGTATTCAGAAGCAGTGGCGTAGCGTGGGGGGTGCAGGGGGGGCCGGCCGCACCGGGCGCAACATGGGGGGGGGCGCGCTTGCACTCGCAGCTCTCTGCCCCTACCTAGATCCACAGGTTAGGGGGTGCAAATTACTTGCCTTGCCCCGAGTGCTGACAACCCACGCTACGCCACTGTTCAGAAGCATTACTACCTCTTGACTGTACAGGTAAGATGTAGACATCAGGGTTAGTAGCCATTGAGAGCCTTCTCCGATCCTGTTTTAAAGCCATCCAGGTTGGTCATCATCACTCCTTCTTGTGGGAATGGATTCCATAGTTTAGCTATGTGCTGTGTGAAGAAGTACTTTCTTTTGTGTCTCCTGTCTCTTCCAATGCTCAGCTTCATTGGATAGCCTCAAGTTCTAGGACTCAGCTACGTTTGTCAAAACACAGCATGATAAATGCGTTATAACACTGCAACACCAGATGGCGCTGTAGAGCTGAAATCACATCTCAATATTTTTGATTGTGAGCTTTGCAACGTTTTTTCGCAGAGCATTTTCAGTGTTTTTTTAATAGCTGCGTAGATCCAGCCCTAGTGTTATGAGAGAGGGAGAAAGGGCATTTCTCTCTTCTCTTTCTGCATGTCATGCATAATGTTATACACTTCCATTATGTCGTCTGATTTTTCACTCCTCCCCATTATTCGCTTGAATGCATTTCTTATCACTGCTTTGACATGATTTGATTATTTGTGCTGTACTTTATGATGCTTACCTTCACTTACTGTTGTTGGGTATGAAAACAGAAGAGCAGGTTGGACATAATAACAAATACGGTGATGTTTTTGACAAAGATGATGATCACCCAAAAAAGAATTTCTGTTTCTCCCTAGTTGGAAATACCTCAATAAGACTGAGAACAAACACTCGTTTGTTGGTGTTGGACTACAAAGCCAGCACAGGTGGTTTGATGCTTGCAAGGAGAGCCAATGACACAGAGACTTTCGAGAGATAGTTAATAATATAAGCCATTTAATCTTCTCTGGGTACATGTCCCACAGTTCCAAAAATGTGGAGCCACTCACCATTGCTGCTTTATCTTCACCCACTACTAACACATTCTATTCAGATCAGCATTTGCAAATTTGTCCTACTATTAATATTGCTTTGGCCCAAAAACACTTTGGGGGTGGGTGAGTTTGAAAGGGAAGAAAGGAAGAAGACTTTCAAGGACTGGAGCTGATCTAACCCAACAGCTGCAACTGTATGCCAGACATCAGAGGAATGTAAAAAGGTGATGATGAGTGCTTAATGGTTGAATAAATATGTTGCATATGCTAATCAATAAGTATAGATGCAAATGATAAATAATGGGTACTATCCCTTGGTAGCATGGGCATAGCTGGGGGGGGCAGGGAGGTGCAGCTACCCTCCCCCTAATCAATAAAAACCAATAGCTAACTGAGGTTCTGCCCCCGCTAACATAAGTCCTGCACCCCACTAACAAAACTCCTGACTATGCCCATGCTTGGTAGTCATACTTAAAGTAGAACCATTGGATTAATAGATGTGGTTCATTCAGGTCCATTAAATGTGTCTACCCTGAGAAGAACTCAGTTGAGTCCAAACCCAATTACTGTTATTTAAAAGAAATGCAGTGCATTCCACTGTAATGGGAAAGTTTTTTGACCAAGTGACCCATGTGCTTAAGCCAGGGGTCGGCAAACTAAGGCCCATGGGCCACAAGCGGCCCCCGCGGGTCATTTAACTGGCCCACAAGCCGCCCCCAAACTGAGCCATCCACTTGGCAAGTCCTCGCATGCTGCACCAAACCAGCGTGGTGCGGGGACTTGATTCTGCGGCGCCAGAAATTGTGTCTGCGCAGATGCTGGAAATCCTGTCTGCGCGGATGCTGGAAATTGTGTCTGCACAGACGCAGACATCAGAAATAGTGGGTGCGCACACTCACATGTGCACGATCCACCCACGGAGGGATCTCCGCTGGAGTGAACCGACCCAGGGGAGGTAAACCTTGCTGACCCCTGGCTTAAGCTGTTGTTCTAGTGCTAACTGCTGACAGGCAACCTCCACCAGCACCACATCTGTACCATACATATAAAGCAGCATTATCACTTCAAACAATCTTGAATTCACCTAAAGAACCTAGGAACTGTGATTTGAGGGTGCTAATAATTTTTCAAAGAACTGTATCTGCCTCACAAAGCTGCAACTTCCAGAGTCCTTTAGCAATTAGTCCCTCTTCCCAGGGAACTCTACGCAGCCAAGCTCCTTGCCGAATCCATCAAAACCAGGATGTACCGTACTTTTCGCTCTATAGGACGCACTTTTTCCCCTCCAAAATTAAGGGGAAATGTGTGTGTGTCCTATGGAGCGAATGCAGGCTCCTTGGCTTCAGTGATAGCAACGCAAAGCCTCCCAAGAGGAAGCGTTCCCAGTACCCACCAGGAGATGCTGGGGACTGAACCTGATGCCTTCTGCATTCTAAGCAGTTGTTCTACCACTGAGCTATGGCCCTAGCTCACAATATTGCTGTCAGGATAAAATGGAGAAGGTGGAGGCTGAAGTGTGTATGCTCTGTGGAGGAAAGGTGGGATAGAAGTATAAGAAGGAATAAAGTATGTAAAGTAGCCTATTAAGTGAATAAACCACAGTATATTTTTAACTTACTCTCCTAATAATTTGTATATAAATTATAAAAGTACTATATAAATTTTGTTAAATAAAAAAAGAGGAAATGTTCAAACAGTATGTTATGCCTGAGCCTTCATTGCTGAAACTCCCAACAGCATTTTCATGCTCACAAACACCTGATGAAGGAACCATTGTGACATAACCCATTCAAGCAGAGTGAAGGGGCAACAGGCTGTCAACAGTGGCAGTAGTTGGGGGCTCCCATCTATTAAAAAGCCACAGAAAGTCTTTTCATACTGCCTGAGGAATTAATCCCTTATTTAACGTTCATAATTGCTGGATCGATTTAACAGGACTAGAGCTAACATTTGCTTGGATTTGGCACCATTGATAGGGAACTGCCTGCTGCATCCTCCGCTTTGAAGTCACCCTGGTCTTTGGGCCTCCAGCACCTTCTTCAGTATGTCCAACCCATCTAAGAGGCGTATGATACTGGTGTTCCACTGGGTTAGGAAGAAGCCCCTGACAGAGAAGTTGTGCTCTACCATCTCGGCCAGACCTTCTGCCTCGGCACCAGCTTGCAACACTCCTCACATTTCACCCTACTTCACGAGGAGCAAGACACAACCCGCTCCGCTCAGGAGGTCCAGCAGGCACAAGGTGCTGCGATTGCCGAATCTCACCGGCCCCAAGTTTTTAAGATCTGTCATTGGCAGCGTTGGTTGGAAGAGAGCCCGCAGGCGTGGCAAGCAAAAGAAGACTCCAGCGGGAACACGAAAAGGGGTGAGGGCTAGGCTAGAGGCAAGAAGGCTCCAAAGCTATTTGCGGGGTGGGATTGCTTTGGAAGATGCCTTCTCACAATCTGTACCCTTGAACCATGTAAGGACATAAGAAGTGCCTTCTCAGGGATAGCCGCCTGAAGCCTTCGGAGCGCAGTGCAAGTTCCCGCTGTGTTCCGGAGGCTTCAGGTTCCTTTCGCTGAAGCCAGGAGAGTCTTGCCCCACTGCTTCCCCCCACTGCCAGCCCCACAAGCTCGGGGGGGCAGCGGGAAGGCGGCGCGCAGCCTTTGCGCTGCTCCCCGACCTGGTCTTTGAGGCTGGCAGTGAGGGAAAGCAGCGCTCCCCCCCCCCCGCCAGCCCCAAAGAGCAGGTTGAAAGGAACCCGAAGCCTCCGGAGCCCAGCGGGAACTCCCACTGCGCTCCTGAGCCTTCGGGTTGCCTTCACTGAAGCCTGGCGAGCGAGAGGGGTCAGCGCGCAGCGACCCCTCTCACTCTCCAGGCTTCCAAGGTAGCCACCTGAAGCCTCCAGAGCCACTTTGGAGGCTTTGGGTGAACGCACCTTGAATGCACAGAACGCACCTTGTTTTAGAGGGGGAGAACAAGAAAAAAAATTCTCCCCCTCTCTGCGCAGCGCCCCTTCAGCGAAGCGGCACGAGAAATGGAAGGGGCTCCGTTTCTCCTGCCGCTTCGCTGAAGGGGCGCTAAGCAGAGGGGGAGAATTTTTTTTTAATTGTTCTCCCCCTCTAAAACAAGGTTTGTCCTATGGTCGGGTGCATCCTATAGAGCGAAAAATACGGTAATCATTAAAATAAATAGGAATTGTGGGTCAAAACTGTACTTTAAATCTGTGGGTTTTGTTATACTCTTATTTTAAAAGGCACAATTTCCATGCAATTTGTATGTATATTTTTCTCTGCTGTGGTGGTCTTGATAACCCTGTGCTCTATCTGATGAACAAATGAACCGAAAGTTTGCACACTTTTCTGTTTTATGACATGTCAGTGTAGTGTGTACACACACTAGGAAGCAGCAACCGATTGCAGTTTCCCAACAGATGCAGTTCACACAATACTTTTGTGTGTGTGTGTGTGTGTGTGTGTGTGTGTGTGTGTTTTAATATAGAAGTGGACAGTGGAGAAAACTAATGCCCCTTTGAAACAGGCAAAAGCACTGTAAAGTCCTCACCGTGCAAGTTCCATAATCCATTTCCTTAGCTCGTGTCCACATGGAAACCTTAAGAAACAATATGCAATTCTCAATTTGGAAGTCATGTGAGCAAGAGAAGGGGGTTATAATTGCATCCGAAATGAGTAGAAAGTGAATCTGTTATGGGTCAGTGACTCAGCAAAGCTCATGCTTTCATCATTTTGAAGATTCTTCAAGCCTCTGAGAATTCATTCTGCTTCCAAGGAGCAGGGGAGAGTGAGAGAGAACTAGCAGCTACTTCTCTTGCAGACATGGCTTATTGGAACCCCTTCCTTCTCTTCAGCTTGATGGCCCCTTGGATCATGCTCTGTCCATCTCATGCCTTTCCAACTGGTGCTCCTGCATCAGCCTGTGAGAATATGTTACCTATTCACACAGGGACCCAGCCTCAACAGACTCCAGCACCCTATGAATTCCTAGTTAGTACACCCTATTTCCTAAACGGGCAGCCTGTTAATGGTAAGTTCCTAAACTGGATTTTAAAAACTTTGGTTGATGATAGATAGATGTCAGTAATAATACCTTTACCTTTATTCAATAATTTATTAAAAATGAGGGGAGAAGAAATCTATATATTCTCATTAATTAACTCACAAAATTATTTTTTAAAAAAACACAAAAGAAAAATGTTATATAATGTAATTACTAACCCGAGCTAACATATTTATCAAGTTTTTCCTCCTAAGATATAGGTAGGCACAAATGCAAAACCCTTTGCAACCTTCTCTGTACTTCATCATAATGGTGGTATGCAACTAAGTTTTACTCAGAGTAAACCTACTGAAATTAATCAAAGTGACTAAGTTTTGTCCGTTAAGTTCCATAGGTGTAATTGGAGTAAAACTTAATTGAATACCAGATAGAGTTACAGTTTGCACTTAGTCTCTTTCCAGAAAAGGCTTTTGATAATGTTGCTGCATATGTCTCTAGTTTGTTGTGGGTATATGGGTACCCTCATCCACCCACCCTACCCTGTTTGTGGGTGCCCTGACCTCCTCTAGATTCCTCAGTGCTGGAGTTTAATCAGTCATTTGAGAATTAAGATGGGCTCATAGACAGTTTCATTTAACAGTGGGACAATGCAGCCTAACTTTGTTTTTCTGGACCAGGGTATCACTTTGGGTACAAGTCATTAAGAACAACAAAGGCTGGTGATGGCCAGGCATCAACCCTTCAATTGGGTGACGCCTGTGAAAGACAGGGAATGGGGGCTCTCTTCCAAATGTGTGTGTCAGTGGGCAGAGAAGGAAAAGGTTAGGGTTTTAGCAGGGATGGTGTAGGTCAGTGGTTTTCAACCAGCCTGCCATGGCACTTAAGGATAATCAGAGGTGCTGCTTACAAGCTCCCCAGGCTATGGTGCCTCTAGGGCTGGCCAGCGGCTGCTTCCCAGGCCTCGGTGGGGCAGTGTGAGGAGGCACCTCTCTTGCGGGTGGGGGAGCAGCTTAGAGACCATTGGCGGCAGCTCCCCAAGACTCCCAAGGAGAGGAGAGGAGGCTGAGGGAACCCTCCACAAGGGAGGGTGTTTCAAAAGGGGTGAGGAGCTGCCAACTCTGCAGGCAAGGGGTGACATCACTGGGCTCCTGAGCCCCACAGGGGGGCCGAAGAAAGAATGTAGTTGGTCAAGAACAGCCAGAGAATATATAAGGAATGGGGAATCTTTGGTCCTCCAGATGCTGCTGAACTAAAATTGCAATCAGTCTCAGCAAGCATAGCCAATGGCTTTGAGATGTAGTTCAGCCACATCTGGACCACCAAAGGCTCTCCAAACATAATATATAGCCTGTTCCTGGACAGGTTATAAACACCATTATAGATCCAGCTGCGGAAAACAAGCGATTTAACCAAACCAGGCTTATTTGTTACTTGATGCCTGTCATCTTTCTCCAGTTCAGATCCTTGGTTCTGCATACAGAGGGTTATTGTTGGAAGCTCGTGCATTTGGTTCCACAGCTGCACTAGGTTTTTGGCAAACTCCTCCCAATAATACTAAATTATTACAGGTAAGAGACAAACGGTCATTCTTTAGTGTCTGCTGAACCAAACCTTTGTCTGAAACAGTCCCCATTCTCACCCCGAACCAGAGAAGGGTCACAGATTGAACGATACAACTCATAGTTGATCCAGCTAGTTATTCATTTTTCCTGCACTTACAGTTTGATGAGGCGCTATGCCAGTGGTTAAGGAGTGTGTGGCCCTCCAGATGTTGCTGGACTCCAATCAGCTCCAGACAGCATGGCCAGTAGTCAGAGATGATGATAGGATTTGTAGCCCAAATTCTGGACAACTTAAATATCCCCATCTCTGGGCTGTGGGGATGAGGTTAGTTTAGACTTCCTCACTCTGGTATCTTCCAGATGTTTTGGGCTACACTTCCCATCAGCTGCATTAGAGAATTTGGCCACATCCTAGATCAGGGGTGGCTAATCTGCGGTCCTCTGAATGCTGTTGAAGCTCTAGCTCCCATCATCCTTGATCATTAGACATGCTGGCTTGGGCTAGTGGGAGCTGGGGTCTGACAATGTCTGGATGGCCGCAGATTAATCATCCCTGCCCTAAACAGCCTGTCTGTGAAGAAATGGCAACATGTTCAGGAGAGCAATGCATCATAAGTCAGAAAGGAAGGCCCACGTGTCTTTTATTAAAATAAGTGGGAAGTTCAACACTTCTGATATCTGGACAGCAGAAGTGACCAAAAGTCCTAAAATGGCTGGTTCCAAATGTCCAAAACAGGTTTGGGGGAACTTTAGCCCTCCAGATAATGGGATAATGGGAGTTGTAGTTCAGCCACAGCTAGAGGGGGGATGGCCCCCCACTCTTGGTCTATAAAATGTGTCAGGAATCATAACCTTCAAGATAATGCCATCAATTTAACTCAGATTGTAAAATTCAACATTTGAATTTGAACATGCCTGGTTAGCTTTTAAAGGCAAACGAATCTCTGTAAAGGATGAATACTAAGTGGCTGCTTAAAAAAAATAATGTTGCAATATTAAAAATCAGAGCAGGAACCTGGGCAATGTGGGGAAATGAATTTTGTTTACTAATGGATGGTGAACTAAATAAATTTATCTCCCAATATTTCTGGACTGGCTCTATAAAAAGTGTGATGGGGTCTTGGTTCTGCTTTAAACTAGATAAATTTGAGGAAGCTTATTTAAAGTGACGTTGTGTCTCCTTTTGCAGTGTTCTGGAAATCCACAAGGTGCAGTGACTCATTCTAATACCAATTTAAAAACAGGACAAGACAGTTACACATGGCTTCCACCCAACTCTGGCTGCCCTTCAGTAGTTATATTTGTGTAAGTTTCACATGTTCTCTAAAATACTGCCTTCCCTAAATCATAAGACAGTTATGAGGAATCTTCAGATATTGCTGAAATACAACCCTTGTTCCTGGCCATCCCTGGCTTGCTTGCTTGAGCTGATGGGAATTGTAGTTCAAGGCAAAGGCTTCCTATTCCTGATCTAGATTTAAGCTCCTTCCCATGGCTTCAGAAGCCTCTTTTGATGGCTGCAAACATTACCAGGCAATTAATGGGAGATAATTTTCTCTGTCTGCATGCTATGATTTCATTCTGCAAGAAGGCAGAAGCCAAGTTTATTTTAAGAGTATGAGGGTCGTTCATTAAAGATTTCCTCTGACCCACTTCCGGTTATCATAGGAGGATGAAATTGCACATGTACATCTCTCCCTAGGTAATGTGGTAATTTGTAGCTTTGAGCTCCTAACAGTTTCTCTGTTACGGGTGCTAACGTGGAGTAACGTCTGATAATGGAACCACTTGAATGCAGGGCAGTCATCAGGTTCCTGTACTTGAAAGCGCACACACCACGGCAGACGTTCAATGAGATGAAAGGGACTTATGGGGAAGATGCCCCATCGTATGACGTAGTCAAGCACTGGCATCGTCAGTTCAAGTGTGGTCAGACTTTGGTGGAACAGCTCCAATTCCTAAGCGACCATAGTCCGTCATTGATGAAGCCACTTCATTGATGAAGTGGAGATCGCCATTCTGGAGGAGCATCACATAACCATTTGCCAGCTAGCTGCAGATGTCAAGATCAGTGTGGGCTCTGTAGAAAAAAATCATCCATGACCATTTGTTCATGGGAAAGGTGTCCTCACGGTGGGTTCCCCGGCTGCTGCCTTTCCTGAAGCAGGAACAAGTCACATGCTCATGGGCTTGTTTGGCCATGTGTAACAAAAACCATGATGGCTTCTTTGCCAGACTAATTATTAATTACTCAGGATGAAACATGGGTCCATCATTATGACCCAGAGACTAAATCCCAGTCCAAACAATGGAAACATTCCACCTCACCACCTCCAACCATCAGCAGGCAAGGTCATGCTCATGGTCTTTTGGGACCAGCGTGGAATAGTGATGATGGATTTCCTGGCAAAGGCTACCACAGTTACCGGGACATATTATGCTTCGCTGCTGCAGAAATTGTGGAAGGCCATCAAAACCAAGGGGCGTGGTATGCTGACCAGAAGCGTCTGCTTCCTGCAGGATAATGCCCCGGTTCACAACTCACATGTTGCTCAGACGGAAGCATGGTCCTGTGGCTATGAAATCCTTCCTCACCCCCCTTATTCTCCCAACCTTGCACCATCAGACTTCCACCTCTTTCCAACCATTAAGTTATTTTTGAAGGGCAAGCTTTTTCCAGATGATGACATGCTGATTTCTGAGGTCAAGTCGTGGCTTCTGACACAACCTGCTGACTTCTACTCATGAGGCTCCACAACTGCATAGAGTGATGAGGAAAGTGTTTTGACTCTTGCTGGTATCTATGTGGAGAAGGACTAATAAATGTGCCAAGTTTCATTTGTCTCAGTCTATGGGAAGTATATCAGGGGAAATCTTTAACCCTCATATAATGAACTTTAGGAACTGCATCAAAGTAATTACAAACTGGAGGGGTTTTTAATAATAATAATAATAATAATAATAATAATAATAATAAGAAGAAGAAGAAGAAGAAGAAGAAGATGATGATGATGATTGCAGGAGTAGGCAGAGACCAATCTCAATATGCATTGTAATTGTGATGACCCTTTTCCTATTGTATCAGGGCTACAGTCGCCCAGTCTCATGACATCTACTGGACCAACGTCAAATCCAAAGTGATCTGGAGAAGTGAGTAACTTACCACTCTGTTATGTGAAATAAGTTCCCAGTCTTAAGGTAACTACGCATCTCCCCTGAAATTGAATAGGCCACAAGTACAGATGGCATTGGGTTAAATATATCCCAATAACACAGCCTTCACCAACCTGCTGCCCTCCAGATGCTAGTAACTAGAAGCCCCATCAACCCCAGCCAGCATTGCTTGTGGGATGGCTTTAGACTTGTAGTCAAACATTTGAAGGGAACAAGACTGGGGAAGGGCAATAACGTATCAGCTGGTATAATGCTTTGCTTGGATACTTGATACCCCGCCATGGGATCAGGAGAAATGTTCCTTGTTTTATTATGAGACAGAAGGGGTTGCTGGTTTACATGAGACTGCCTTGTTTGATAGTCTCTGGCCCTAGTAAAATCATTAGCTATGATGGAAGTTGATGAGTGTACCTTTCATTTTAAAAAGGCACCTTATTGTTGGGGCAGAAACTGAATGCTGAATAAAATTCAAAAGATGTCAGGATGTAGTTTTGCAAATTTCATGCTTTGTGCCCCATTGGAGCCAAAAGCAACTAACATTGACTGGAAAAGATGCACAATGTATTGATGTAATTTTTGGAGCATCACTGAAAAAATGCCCAATGGTCTGAATGATGTGCCTTGCCTGCTTCTTAATGCACTCTAACACAATGAGGAGCATGGCCATGACATGCTGACCGATTGTTGATGGATGGGGAGGAAACAGAAAACCAGGTGAAAATGGGGGGAAATGAAATATACTGGAAAGGGCCTGGTTAGGGGTCTCACAACCCAAACAGGCCCATTTCACATCACAACATTTTGTTGCAAGCGCCACTTGTATCTCAACTTAGCCTGTATCTTCATGACTCTGATTTTCTTTCCACCATTGCAGATTCCAAAGCTACCTGTGGAGTGGAATCATTTACAAGGTCACTATCTGCTAATGCAGCAATCTTCTCTCTGCTCCCGATTTTACTGGGATACATTTAGAAACCAGCCTACAGCAATTTACTCGCATTCTTTAGTAATCTAAACACATTGTTTTGTGTGGGATATGCATTAAATAATAAAAAGCTCTGCTCACTGCAGTGAAGACTTTCCTAAACTTGTGCTTGCTGTTTCAATTGGCATTTTGTGTACAGCTTTTCTGCTCCTTCTAATATAATCTTTAAGACACTGGGGATGGGATAGATTAAAAAAATAAAAGTGTTTACACTCCCAAGTGCATGTTTAATGAAAACTGGGCAACATCCAGTGATGTTCATCCACTTGTACATAGGAAATTCCCTTTTGCAACAGGACTTCTGGTTCCTCTTTCCCCCCTACAGCTCCTCATATCCCCACAATATCTGTTCCAAAGCATCCCTCAGCTCTCCAGAACAGATTTTGGGGCTACAGATGGAGTTGCAGAGAGAACAAAGCAGTCCTGTTGTACAAGCAGACTTCATTCCCATGACACTGGATGTCTCCAAAAGAGCCTTAACTCACCTAAAGGGTGAAACCTTTAAAGCCCTAAACGGCCTCGGTCCTGTATACCTGAAGGAGTGTCTCCACCCCCACCGTTCAGCCCGGACACTGAGATCCAGCGCCGAGGGCCTTCTGGCAGTTCCCTCATTGCAAGAAGTGAGGTTACAGGGAACCAGACAGAGGGCCTTCTCGGTAGTGGCGCCTGCCCTGTGGAACGCCCTCCCTTCAGATGTGAAGGAAATAAGCAGCTATCTTCTCTTTAAGAGACATCTGAAGGCAGCCCTGTTTAGGGAAGTTTTTAATATTTAATGCTGTATTGTTTTTAACACTTGATTGGAAGCCGCCCACAGTGGCTGGGGAAACTCAGCCAGATGGGCGGGGTATAAATAAATAAATTAATTATTATTATTATTATTATTATTATTATTATTATTATTATTAACAGGCTTGCTGGATCTTCCAGGGAAAGTATCCCAGACTTATGATGACACTACCATAAAAAGGCTCTGCACCTAGTATCTGCTAACAGAGGCATGTTTGAGAGCAGAGCACCTGAAACCAACTGGAGGCTCAGACAAATTCATGTGGCAAGTTCTGGTAACTTTGTCCCAGGCTATTAACAGCCTTAAGGGTCAATGTCTAATTCTTTAAACTAGGCTTAAAAGCAAACAGGCAACCTAGCCAATTGACATAAAATTGGCACAATATGCTCCAAGTTTGAAAACCCACAAACATTCTATTCTGACCACTCAATTCCAGTGTCATAGATATATTTTCTCTAGATCAGGGGTGGAGGGACCACATTCCTTTATGAGCAACCTTTGGAATGGGGGCACATGCCAGTGGTGGACTTTCACCTTTGAACAGGAGGCTACTTTTCAGCCATGCAGAAGTCAAAGTTTTCTATACTCCCATACCATACCACACATTTTTCTATCCAGGCAAGTGGGAGGCATTATTATTACAGTTAACATTCCGGCCAGGCAAAACTACTCAGGGAGGGTGAGGAACTGGCCTAGGGAAAGTCACTTTGGCTGCATAGAAACCTAAAGGGCCAAAATAGGCCTGTTCTAGAAACATCCACAGCTTGTGAAATGGTAGATACTACCTGAGGATCCAAATATAAAGCTGTGTCCAGGAGCACCATGCCTGCATATTTGTTACTTCAGGAATAGTAAAGTCATAAGCCCTAAACATAGTACTTTCATCTTATCAGGATTAAGTTTTAGCTAGTTTCATCATGCCAAAACGGAATTTCAAAACACTGATTCAGGATAACCACCACCTCCTTAGGTTTAGACCAGGGATAAGAAACCTTTGGCCTTCCTATTGTTGCTAAACTGTGACTCCCATTGGTCCTAGCAAACATGGCCAATGATGCACCTGGCTTAGATGGTGAAAATGAGAACGAACTGTTGTCAGTATACCCAACTCTGCAGCTGATGTTTCCCACTGGTTTCATGTAGTAATCAAAGAACAAAGAAGAACAATCTGGCACCCATTAAAATAGGGATAAGTCAACATGATGCCTTCCACATGTTTTCGACTACAAGTGCCATCACTCAAGCCAACAACAGCAACCATGTGTTAAGAGTAATGTATCAAATGTACCTTTCATGAAGGTCAGCATGAAAAACAAACCCAATACAGTATTCTGTCTGTCTTGTCAACATTCTCACATTTGCATTATTTCAATCTGTATTTTATTTCTTTATTGCAATTTTATTGGTACAGTATTAGAAGCTTATTGTCCTCTCTCCTCGTGAGATTATGATCAATATGCTCCACACTTTGTCAAATACATGTTTATTAAGTTGCTTTCATTGCACCGTGGTTTTACTTAATATTCTCCAAACCCTGGAAAATAAAAAGTGAAGCAAATGAGTTAAATGTGTCTGCTGTGCACAACGCTGCTGCTATCAAATTACACTATATAATCAGGTTTAACAAACCTCTTTTCAAGGTGGTGTCCTCCTTAATCCCACAAACAGAAAAATACTAATTGTGCAAACACATAGCAAGTTGCTCAACTTTTAATACTAGCAAGCGCAGGCAGGTTTGCACTTTCCTTTGCTACATCAGGCTGCCACTGACAGAAGTGCTCTGCCATCACAGGACTAGGAAAGAAGACTCCTTAGGGCAGGAGTGGGGAATCTTTGGCCCTTGAGATGTTGTTGAACTGCAACTCGCATCAGTCCTAGCAAATACGACAAATGGCCAAGCATGATGGGAGTTGTAGTTTGGAAAGTTATTTAGTCTTTAAAGATGCCACATAACTACCCATGGGGAATCTACACAAGTAATGACAGCTGTTCTCCAACTTGTGGAAGATGATCAGGAATGCACAAGAGGGGACAGAGCATGCATGGTCATCCCTGTTTCTTTCTTCACATCATTAACATAATGTGGAGAAACACATCTGAAAAGGGCTCTGCTATGAGCAGAACATGCCATGCGCATTATAGTATTGAACACAGATTAAGGATAAAAATAACATTGTGCAGAGGTACATAAATCATTTAGGGATCAAAACAAATGTAAACTGTTGTGGCATTTAGCTCCCCACCCCCACCAAAAAGTAGTGTTGTGACTTTGCAACTAGACAGCAGCATGCAAGGAAGTTTGTTCAAACCAACCTTGGAGTCATAGTACTGATTTACTCCAGACACACGCTTGTCTCTCTCCAGCAGGTACCACTGATAGGTGTTCCGAGCAATTCTCTTCTCCTGGGCACATAAGAAATAAGGTGGACAATGTGTAAACAAGAGGCAGTGGGAGACAGATAATGTGAGAAGACTTAAAGCAAAGTTGACAAAAAATGTGAAATATTGAAAAATTCAACCGATGCGGGCAGACCTATTCCTTTTTTGAGATGAAAAGCAGATTGCTCAGCCCTGCTTCCCAGCCTAGCACCGAGGCTCAGATATACACATGACACTGTCCTTGTCTTTCTTAGCTGAAGGTATGATTATCTGGATGTCGTGGGCAATTCAGGGGACAACACTGTGGGGTTCAATGGATGCAGTAAGAAAGCCTATGTCTGAACAGCACTGCTGCAAACTGCAGGTGTGAGTGAGGCTCGTTTCACTTAATATGCCCACCCCAAAAAGAACATATTCATAGACAAAGAAAATCAACTAGAGTTTCAGCTTGAACATATTTGTTCATGCTTTATTTGTTAATTTAATTTTTATTAAATTTAATAAAAAATCATCCTACTGAGCCTTTTTCTTACAATTATTATTATTTTAATTTGCTTTTTTTACAAGTCCTCATTTACCATTCTTCTTTATTTTCCTTTTTTTAAAAAAATCCTCACCTTTACTAATTAAAACATTGCTATATCTCCCTTCATCCAATCAGAGTTCAGGGTGGCCTATATGTAACCTTTTATTTTTTAGAGCCCAGACACCAGTTGGATACTTTTCTTCTGCATCAATCTGCCTATCTACTGGGACAGGGATCTGAAAGGTACACATTTCAAATGACAATTATTGTCTGTTATTGTTAAAGGTAAGAGGTAAAGGTAAAGGACCCCTGACAATTAAGTCCAGTCGCAGACTGGGACTGCGGCGCTCATCTCGCTTTACAGGCTGAGGGAGCATTCGTCCACAGTTTTTCCAGGTCATGTGGCCAGCATGACTAAGCCGCTTCTGGTGCAACGGAACACCGAAACCAGAACAGCGCACAGAAACGCCGTTTACCTTCCTGACAGAGTGGTACCTATTTATCTACTTGCACTGGCGTGCTTTTGAACTGCTAGGTTGGCAGGAACTGGGACCGAGCAACAGGAGCTCACCCCGTCGAGGGGATTCGAACCACCAACCTTCTGATCAGCAAGCCCAAGAGGCTCAGTGGTTTAGACCACAGCGCCACCTGCGTCCCATCTGTTATTGTTAACTACTTTTAAAATATTTATTTTCCTCTCCTGTAATACTCTACTAACTGCCTTAGAATAAACCTACAATGATAGTGTAGGGCAGTGGTTTTCAACCAGTGTGCCGTGGCACCATGGAGTGAGTTGAATGGTGGTCAGGAGTGCCGCGGGCAACAATGGCTTCTGTCCCTCTTTCCTTCCCTTCCTCCTCTAATGCCCTATCATGTCTCTGCCTCCCAAAGGTTTGTGCAGCTGTTTGTTGCAGCAGCCCTGACTACAAGCACCACAGGTGAATGGTGCCTCTGGGGCTGGCCAGAGGAGAGGAGAGGAAGAGGCTGAGGGAACACTCTACAAGGGAGGGTGTTTGAGAAAGGGTGAGAGGCTGCCAGCTCTGCAGGCAAGGGGTGACATAACTGGGCTTCTGAGCCCCACAGGAGAACCGCAGAAAGAATGTACTTGGTCAAGGGAGCTATGGACTCAAAAAGGTTGAAAACCTCTGGTGTAGGATATAAATTACATAAATAAATAAAACTTGTCCAGGCCTCATGTATTGTGCCTTTGTCACATTCAGACTGGGCTGCTGAAATGCACTCTACATAGGGCTGCCATTAAAGAAAGTTTGGATACTTCAGCATCCTGTTCTCACAGTGGCCAACCAGATGCCTATGGGAACCTGAGTAAAACATCACTCTCCCAACATGTGAACCGCAGCAACTGATATTCAATGACATACTGCCTCTGACACATGCGGTAGTACATTGTTGTTGTTTAGTCGTTTAGTCGTGTCCGACTCTTCGTGACCCCATGGACCAGAGCACGCCAGGCACCTCTGTCCTCCACTACTTCCGGCAGTTTGGTCAGACTCATGCTGGTAACGTGGTAGTACATACCAGTGGCTAATAGCCCTTGAAAGCATTAGCCTCAGTGAATTTGACCAACCACTTCTTAAAGCTATCCAAGCTGGTGGCCATCAATGCATCTCCTGGGAGTGAATTCCATAGTAGAAGAGTGTTTTCTTTTGTTTGCTTTGAATCTTCCAGCATTCAGCTTCATTGGATGGCGCTGGGTTTTAATATTATGAAATGGGGACTGGGACGACAACACGACTCTCCCTCTCCCTATCCTTATGGGCTTTAAAGCCTTAAAAAGGTTTTTGTCAGTTATTCGAAGGGCTGTCAGTTCCCACACCCAGCTGCCCATTCTCTGAGA